CTAGGGTTTTCGGTCTTAGAGTTCTAAAGTTAGGGATTTCGCCGACGGCTTACGCAGCTAAGGCCACTCTCGTTGTAACCGTTCTTACGCAGATTCGGAATAAGATCCTTCTTGCTCTCAATCTCGTTTGTTCTTACTTTAATTTTAAGTTCATCGTTTTCTTAATTGTTGTTGTGCGGTTCCGCAGATAGCTGGGTCCTCTAGGAACTTAGGGTTTACTCAAAGTTCCCTTATTTACGATTCATTGATAGTAGGTGAATTTCGGTTCCCACAGAACTCACCGTCAGCTCTTGCTGCTGAGGCTTTTCCTATTGTAATGCGCATTCACTTGATTCTGAATAAGACCTTCTTTACTCTTTTTTTTTTCATTTTTATCAGATTATTATTTCTTCTGTTTAATTGTTTGATTGCTTGGTGTGTGATTTAGCAGATATTCGGGACCTCTGAAAATTTTATGTTTACTTAACTTACCTAATTCATCGGAAATCGACAATGCAAATTTAAGGAAAAAATAGTTGAACACCAATATGATAACCACACAGTATTTAAAAAAATACAAGTCAAACAAATCTAACCATTTTTAAGGATTACCGTGCAACACATGCATTACTAGTTACATTATTCTATTTATAAATGAATCTCCATCCTAAATAGAAATTTAACCATCAAACTAGTAAACCTAAAATTAAAACTCTAATAAAAGTGTCTTTATCGTAAGAATATTACGAAGAACGATATGTCTTTATCGCAGCTCACTATATTTTGCATCATCCTGATTGCTTTATTTCCTCTTCATGAATGTATGCATTTATATATTAAGTTCCCTTTGTTCACTATTTATTATACTATTATTTAAGAAGTATATTTGCTTAGTTGTCATGTTCTCCATAAGTGTAGGTAATTTTGGTTATTTATCATATTTTGATATTTATTTATATATAAAACGAATTTATATGAATATATCATATTTTTAGTAAATAAGATAATTCTTGTGAATTATGTTGTTATCTTGAAATATATTTTATAAGATAATTCTTATGTGTTATGTTGGTATGTTAAAAATATATTTTCGTATTATAAAACTTAAAATTAAGATATTAAATTATATTATTAGTAATTAAATATAAATCATCAAAATACTATATGAAAAGTGAATTTATTGATTTGTTTCCCTGATCTTAGTAATTTTAATAATTTGTCAGAATTTTTCTAATTTTGTTTATTATTTATTATATAATTAAACCTATTTTATGTTAATAGTATGATATTTTAAAAAATAAGTTAATTCTTACGTATTATGATGTTATCTTGAACATATATTTTTCAGTTATAAATTTAAAACTAACATGTAAAAATCTATACTATTATTTAAGTAGTAAATTTGATGTTTGCTAATTTGTCATATTTCCATGATTTTAAATCATTTTGATAATTTATCATAATTTCTATAATTTCTTATATATTTAAAAAAAAATTATATTAATAGTATCAGTTTTTTAGAAATAAGATACTTCTTATGTATTAAGTTTCTGTCTTGAAAATATATTTTTCTATTAGAAATTTTAAATTAAGATATAAAAAATTGTAGTAATTCTATAATTGAAATAAATTTACACTACTAATATTATACTTTTAGAAACTAAGGTAATTCGTATGTATTATGTTGTTATCGTGAAAATACATTTTTATATTATATAATTTAAAAGTAAAATAGAAATTATCTATTATTAATTAAATATAAATAATCACTCAAGAAAAATTATTTAAGAAGTTAATTTGTTGATTCATTAAGTTCTCCATGATTTTATGTAATTTTAATTATGTCATAATTTCTATAATCTTATATAATTGTTATATAATTAAAAAAATTTATTATATTTTATAGAAATTAAATAACTTTTGCATTATATTGTTATCTTGAAAATATGTTTTTCTATTATAAAATTATAATTAAATATAAATTAAGTAAACTATTTGTATAAATATTATAATTTAATATAAAGTAAGTAAAATAATTATAGAAATTTTATTTTTTAAATATTTCTGATGTTTGAGTTTTGTCATTGATAATTATTTGATGTTTGATTTGTACTTTTTGAGAACATCAATAATAACTTAATATGCTGATTTTTAAATTAATGAAACATCAACTAATAAATATTCATAAGATAATTATGCCTGCCAATGCGGGCAAAACATCTAGTGATATGTTAAATCTATACTATTATTTGCGAAGTGATTTTTCGCAACGGAGCTCTCACGTTAAAAGTTGGGGTGAATAATATCGTTTATACCCTTAATGAATAATTTAAAATTTCAATATATAATTAAACATAAATAAAAACGAATTTCAATGATTTTAGATTTATCTTTATCTAAAACTATTTTATATTGGATTATAAAGTCTTTATTAACCTTGAAAAATAATTATATTTGTTAATATATAATTAATTATAAAGTAAAACGAATTTCATTATTTGATAATTATCCTTATTTAAATTTTTTATATTATGTTATAAAATATTTATTAACGTTGAAAAATAATTATATTTGTTAATATATAATTAATTCTAAATTAAAAACGAATTTCATGAATTTGATAAAAAAATTATATTATGTTATAAAGTCTTTATCAACCTAGAAAAATAATTATATTTGTTAATGTATAATTAATTCTAAATTAAAAACGATTTTCATGAATTTAATAATTATCTTTATCTAAATTTTTATATTGTGTTATAAAGTCTTTATTAACCTTGAAAAGTACTCAATTGCGACGCTAATGACAAAAATCGCAGTTGTTTTATCTGTAAACGCCCAAAGACGTCACATCGTTTCAACAGCATGGCAGAATGTAATGCTGCGTGCCACGCATAAGTTATCTCTAGACGTGCAAATAGCACTGAATAAACGTTTTTTAAATACCTAATTATAGGCTTCCGATTTTGATTATAAGAACAAAAGCTTATTTTGAGTCCAACAAATAAAACTTATGCTATTGTATGTGTTTAGAGACTTCTATGGTCTACGTAATACACAAGAGTTTAACCTACTTTTCTTCTTTTCTTTTTTTTTTTCTATTAGTTTTTTCATTAATATTTCTTCTGGTTAATAGCAAAGAGTGAGTCTTTTAAACTTAAAAGTTTGTTATCGTAAATGGTACGTTTTTTTTCTATTTTCATCTACACCATATGAATACCACTCATAAGTAAGGAAAAAACATAGATCAAAGAGAAAACATAAAAATTTTCATTAGTTTACCCAGTCACTTAAAACAATAATAAAAACTTACATTAGTATGATTTATGTGCACTCATTTATGAAAATCATAGTCAAATTGGACTGAAAAAATAATTAAAAATTAAAATATAAATAAAAATGGTAAATCTTATCTGTTTGAACGTCGATTACACGATCGTCCGAGTTACACACAAAACCGCGAAAAACCGAAACCGCCGTAAAACGCGAGCTAGTCCCGTCCTGACTAGCTCGCCGTTCGGCGAGCTAGAAACTCCCCGGGTAGCTCGCCGTACGTCGAGCCGACCATCTCGAGCCTCAATCTCCCACGTCCCCGATTCAAAGCCTACGTTCTTCGACACGATCTTGTTCCGAACCACGGTCGAAATGTCTTCTGTTTCGTCTCGATCCATCCTATCGTCCAAGTTTTACGATAAAAACCGTAAAACTTTGTTTTCTCGAAAAGAACTCGAGAAAATCGTATAAAACGGCAATGATTAACCGAAAAACGCATTTTTAATAAAAAAACTTCGACCGAATCGTAAAACCGGTAATGATTAACCAAAAAACGAACGTAGCTAAACTTTACGATTAACTCGAGGAATTTACTAAAAACGGCATCGAATCAAGAAACGATCTCGTAGAAAGTCGCAAAACGGATTTATCGCAAAACGGCTAAGAAGGTCCTAAAACGTGATAAAAGCCATCTCGCGATCTTAACGAAATCTAACCCGAAGATACGATAACGTTTTGACGATTTACCCGCAGAAGAAAGATAAATGTCAATGTTGAAGGTAAATGACAAGTTTGAAGATAAATAAAAGATTTCCGCGGGAAAAAGGAAAGATCGAGATAAATGGAAGATTCTCGATAAACTCGAATCTGTGCGAAATGGAAAGACTAAACCGCCTAGGAAGGGAGTATATAAGCAAGAGGCATAGGGCAGAAGCAAGACACGTTTTCAGAGCTTTCACCACCAAACTTAGCATTTAGGAATATTTCCGTTTTTTGTTAACGAGCTGCGTCTCAACTAGGGTTTTCGGTCTTAGACTTCTAAAGTTAGGGATTTCGCCGACGGCTTACGCAGCTAAGGCCACTCTCGTTGTAACCGTTCTTACGCAGATTCGGAATAAGATCCTTCTTGCTTTCAATCTCGTTTGTTCTTACTTTAATTTTAAGTTCATCGTTTTCTTAATTGTTGTTGTGCGGTTCCGCAGATAGCCGGGTCCTCTAGGAACTTAGGGTTTACTCAAAGTTCCCTTATTTACGATTCATTGACAGTAGGTGAATTTCGGTTCCCACAGAACTCACCATCAGCTCTTCTGCTGAGGCTTTTTCTGTTGTAATGCGCATTCACTTGATTCTGAATAAGACATTCTTTGCTCTTTTTTTTCATTTTTTATCAGATTATTATTTCTTCTGTTTAATTGTTTGATTGCTTGGTGTGTGATTTAGCAGATATTCGGGACCTCTCGAAAATTTATGTTTACTTAACTTACCTAATTCATCGGAAATCGACAGTGCGAATTTAAGGAAAAAAGAGTTGAACACCAATATGATAACCACACAGTATTTAAAAAAAAACAAGTCAAACAAATCTAACCATTTTTTAAGGATTACCGTGCAACACATGCATTACTAGTTACATTATTCTATTTATAAATGAATCTCCATCCTAAATAGAAATTTAACCATCAAACTAGTAAACCTAAAATTAAAACTCTAATAAAAGTGTCTTTATCGTAAGAATATCACCAAGAACGATGTCTTCATCGCAGCTCACTATATTTTGCATCATCCTGATTGCTTTATTTCCTCTTCATGAATGTATGCATTTATATATTAAGTTCCCTTTGTTCACTATGTACTATTATTATCATTGGAATCTTATCATTATATCTAAGTGATGTTGTTATTAATTTTTTGTTTGTATAGTTGTCAATGGCCAAGGTGGTAAAGCGGGTAAATTTTATTGCCAAGCACTCAATTGCGACGCTAATGACAAAAATCGCAGTTGTTTTATCTGTAAACGCCCAAAGACGTCACATCGTTTCAACAGCATGGCAGAATGTAATGCTGCGTGCCACGCATAAGTTATCTCTAGACGTGCAAATAGCACTGAATAAACGTTTTTTAAATACCTATTTATAGGCTTCCGATTTTGATTATAAGAACAAAAGCTTATTTTGAGTCCAACAAATAATACTTATGCTATTGTATGTGTTTAGAGACTTCTATGGTCTACGTAATACACAAGAGTTTAACCTACTTTTCTCCTTGTCTTTTTTTTTCTATTAGTTTTTTCATTAATATTTCTTCTGGTTAATAGCAAAGAGTGAGTCTTTTAAACTTAAAAGTTTGTTATCGTAAATGGTAAGTTTTTTTTTCTATTTTCATCTACACCATATGAATACCACTTATAAGTAAGGAAAAAACATAGATCAAAGAGAAAATATAGAAATTTTCATTAGTTTACCCAGTCACTTAAAACAATAATAAAAACTTACATTAGTATGATTTATGTGCTCTCATTTATGAAAATCATAGTCAAATTGGACTGAAAAAATAATTAAAAATTAAAATATAAATAAAAATGGTAAATCTTATGTGTTTGTGCTTTATCCTTTTGATATTATCTAACTTTTATGAAGTATTTTCTGAAATTAAATATTTTCTATCATTCTAAACTATTAGTATTTTTGAATAAGTGAAACGAATTATTGTTTTCAACAAGAAAGAACTTTATTATTTCTACCTAGTACCCGGTCCAAAGAGTCGATGGTGTTGAATCAACAAAAACAATAGTAGAAGGAAGATTTCAAAAATCTCGTGAAATCTTATTTGCTATTGTATTGTTTGTTCTTAGAATCTAACAGATTATAAATTTTGGGAAGAAATTCTTACATCGTTGCAATTCGTCTAAATCGGTATAGAATACGGTCTTTCCATCAATTAAGAACAATCTATTGAGGATTCCACCTCTAAAATGTGTAGAATTCATGAATTCTATTGCCAAAATAACTGCTTCGCACTAGACATGTTAAGATGGTAGGTTTCGTCGCATATTCATATCCCCGTGACTTGTTCATTTGAGGCTCCGAAAATGTAAACATAACTCCTTTTGAAATAAAATTTTATTACAAAATATGATCTTTTAGAAGCTGAAGGAATAATCTTTTTGATATCACTACGTTTACATGCTTTGAGATAAAGTTCTATCATTATTTTTTTCTAGTAGCATTGTTGACTGCATGCTACTATGATTTCTTGAAAATACTTGAGAACTCCCAATTTTTTTGTGAAAACAAATACTTAAGTAGGCCTTGAACTCTTGAAACACGGTGTCACCATGAGAAAACTATAGAAGATATTCAAATCATCAGTATGAACCAGAACATGAAATTTAGTACCTTAGAAACCAAACATAAAAGAGATTGGTCTTTGACAGATTGATAAAATCACAATCTTGCAAAGCGGCATCTAGCTTTTCAAACTAGTACTGAATAGCTTGTTTTAGTCCAAATAACAACTTGAAAAAGACAATAAACAACATTATTAAAAGGATAATAATGTGTTCTCCTGCATCATATACTGAAAAAAAAAATTAAATTCTACTTAAAATAAGTGGAATTTGCCAAATATGACTCAAAACTTGATTTTGAATACAAAAGTGTACCCCAAATTCAATCAAATATAAAATTAACCTAAAAGCCTAGTGAAATTACAACAGCCCTTTTGTGAACAAACAAAAAACGTGTATTCAGTTTTACCATCACAACCCTCCGTTAGAGAAGACTTAAAAGAAGTATTCTCAGGATGAGTTCTTTATAAGTCTTCTCGTTCAGTAGATCTTAAAAATAATTTTCTAATTTTATAAAAAATATATTGATGGGTAAAAAATTGAAATCATGTTATAATAAACATTTCTCAATGATGTAAATTTAATTGATCTAAAATTGAATTATTTTCAACATAGATGAGTGAATGTATATTGGCTCATGAATAATTGGTTTAGTGTTTGGTAACATATGTTATAGTATTGTATGTATCTTTAGGGTTAGATTCTGAAATCTTACCTTCATTTTTTTAAAAAATTGATCCCTATATGTTTAGTAACTATTTAATAACTTGGTTTAAACATTTTCTAAGTTTTTTTTTAAGTTTAAGAAAGTGTTTTTCTGTATAGTTAATCGATTTTAAGGTCTGGAAGACTCACAAAAGACTTAAAAAGAAGTCTTCCGACACATCCCGCCTAATTTTTAGTAGAATTTAGGGTTCCCGCCTATCCGCTTGCCACCTGTTACAAATGATTTCCATCCATCAATTGGTTGTACAGACATAGTGTCCGCTATATCTGAATCGCCAATAAAGTCAAAGTTTTTTTTCCAATGTATATCTTTTCAATATAGTTTTTTTACTTTTAAAAGAAAACTAGGTTGTTTTTCCCGCATTTGCGGGCCTAAACATTTTATAATTATTTTATTTATACATCTTTTATTAATTGAAAGATTATAATGATAAAGGATTAATTTATTTATTTTTGAAACAAATAATATTTGTATCTTCATTTAACAATTTTTACATATATTTCTTTGTAATTTATGCTCACTATTAAAAATAATTTTAAAATCAAATAATATTTTTTCAGTTATATAAAATTAAGAAGTTGACTTTATTAATATTTAGTTATGTATTTTTTTAATTGTTAATTTTTTATCAAAATATATTTTCAGATAACATCACAATATATATATCTGTGGGAACCGAGATTCACACTTGTCGATTTCCGTTAAATAAGGAAACTTAGGAAAACCCTAATTTCCCAGAGGAACCGGATCTCTGCGAAAGACAACGACAAGTAACCAAATAAATGCGGAAAATATGAAAAACACAATAACACGAATTATAAAGAAACTCGATCTTATTTCCGATTCGCGTAAGAACGTTGCGATCATTACAGGGAATTACAAAGGCTTTGGCCGCAGGGGCCATCAGCGAGTTACAAACATAAAACCCTAGATCTAGTCGAGTCGCAGCTCGATTACGAAAGACGGAAAAAGATAGGAAAAAAAGTTTGATTGATTTCGGACTGAACCATATGAAAGGCTGCCTACGTACCCCTTTCGGGGATCAAGTCGAACGTAGTTCAGTTGATTGAGCTAGACAAGAGATCGAACTGCCTGGGCGAGTTCGTCTAGTGATTGAGCGCCAGTCATAGAAACCGAATTTGTCGAGAAAAAGCCTAAGTTTCTAAGTGTGGAAAATTCTAAGTCTAGAAAAGTTGTGAAAGTCTCAAATGAGAGCTCTGAAATTTCGTCAT